AGCCCCGCGGCGCCATGCGCGCGGCGCGCGTGGACACGCTCTCGCAGGCGCGGCGCACGATGTCGCAGTCGGTGGCCGACGGCCTCAGCCCCAGCGTGCTCAGAATGTTGTAGATCTGCTTGCGGTCGCCCGAGTCGCTGCGGGGCGGGGGCGGGAGGGCGTCGCCGAAGGGTCGCTTCGCTCCTGGCCAGCCTGACTCCCATATAGCGGCCGCCTCTTCCCTCCCCCTGACCGCCTCTCCCAGGCAAAGCGCTTGGGGCTCAGGCTCCGGAGTGGGGCAGGTCGGGCTCCGCCAGGGACCAGCAGTAACCTGTCATTACTCCTCTCTCTAAGCCCGGGTTCTCCGCCCTAAGGTGGGTGACGCTGCCGCGCCTTGCAGCTGTTGTGTGAATTGAGACTAGGTCCATAGCGAGTAGGGAGCCACTAGGGAGACTCACGGACTCCATCGACTGCCCGGCGCCCCAACCCGGGACCTTACGCCCGCCCTAGACCCCTGCCCCCTGAGTCCCGCCGCCTAAACTCCTGAGCCGGGGCCCTGGCACTGCGCCCCTGGACCACACTCCTACCCAGGGATCTCACCCTGGTCCGGGCCCCCGGCCCTCAGCCCTGACCCCCGAGCCCCGCCCAGGTCCCGCCCACATTTGGAACCCCGCCCCCACGTCCCAGGGCGTCCTGGTCCAGGACCCCTCCTGATGCTCACTGACAGCTGTAACCCACCCCTTGCCCTGCGCGCCCCGCGCACCTCTCCACCTGCGACACGAAGCGTGTCTCAAAGGCGCCGCGCGTGCGCAGCTGCTCCGAGGCCTCCCCGTGGAAGAGCAGGTCCTCGTCCACAAGCTTCAGCAGCACGAGTCGCACCAGCTCGCCCATGTACTTGCCGCCGATGAGCTTCTCGTACCTGGACAGGGGGCAGCGGGGTCATCCCCAGCAGGGAGCTCCCCACGCGCAGGTGGAGGCCAGGAGCTGGCACCACCGCCCCTCACCGCACCCACGAAGAGGACATATGGGAGGCTGTGACCCACACCTCGGCAAAACTGGGTTTATGCCCGTTCCCTCATTCATCAAGCGAGGCTTTGCGGCGGTGGGAGCACGGCTGGCTGTACTGCCGGGCCTCAGCCCAGTCCCTCTGAGACCTTGCTCGTGAGGGGCCCAGCGCTGAGCCCACTGCGGTTTTCCCACAGCCGTGTGATGGGTGCTGTTCTCATCACCCAGTGACAGTTGGGGAAACTAAGGCTCAGAGGGGCTAGTGACCAGCCTGGGGTGCCCTCTACCCCAGGGTTCCTAGGCCCTGTGCTCCTGGAATCCACGGAGCTGGCACGATGGCTCGTGCTAGTCTGTAAGCCTCCATATGTTCATGCTGTGGTCCATTGAATACTAGTAGAGGTCTATGAGGGCCAGAGAGGACGCTCATGAAGGAGTCAGCACGCGCCTGGCACGCAGTAGGCGGTTCATAAAGGAGAGCCCTGACTCATGACAAGTGCCGTGAGGGCTGTTTCTCTAGCTGTCTGGGAGCCCGCAGCATTCCACAAAACACTGGCATTCATTCTGCGAACGTGTTCAGATCTGTGTTCTGGGGAATTGTGGGTTAAACCCAGTAGACGTTGCTGCGGGCATCTCAGACCCTTCCTATGCCAGCAGTCACCTGTCAGAAGGAGGGGGAGGGGCGGTCCTGGCCTATCTAGCCACAGACCGTGTTTTTGAGGACTAATCCTTCGCATTTCTCACTGTCCCCTGTTCACATGCTTGTGAGCTGGAGGAAGAGACGAGCCAGCTTACGAAGGGATTGTCAGTTTGCTTTTCCCCAGAGCTGTTTAAAAACAAGCCCATTATCTGCGGGCCGGCCCATCTGCCGCGGGAGCGGGGCCGGGGGAGGGGCGGCCCTTACAGCTGCTGGCCGGGGTTCAGGGAGTTCTCGTCCACCACGCGGTCGTACTCCAGCAGGAACTCGTCCAGCTCGCCCGAGTCCCCGAAGGCGCCCCACTCGGTGTTGACACACATGCGGCCC